TGCCCTATTCTTGTTTGAAACGGCTTTGCTTGAGTAATGTGCAAAGTTATCTCTAACTCTTCTTCCGATCTGTTCATTACATTTTTCCATCAAGAATTTTGATTTCCTCTAATCTTTCATTTCTTTGTGTTCTGGGCATGAACCGAGCAAAATCCTTCAATGAATTGAGAAACGAACCTTCGCCTCAATGAGGTAGACACGGATAGAAGGTCCACGTCGGAACAGCAAATTCGGAAAATCGAGAGGGGGGTAAGGAATGTAACAGGTGTGATGATGCTCCTCTGGACGAACCGAATATAAGGTCATAAATTGTGATAAGGAATGAGATACGAGGATTGAGAGTAGGTAGATATTTTCGAATAGGAGTGATAAAAAAGTTCGGCAGAGAGTTGATCGATGGATTGATTTAACTTGTCTCTGCCTAGTTGTGGCTCGTTGCTATGACTTGCAAGACTTATTGACGGTGTCGGCTAAACGTCTGGTAATGTACCAAATACATGGTATATCGAAATTTTCATAATTATTCTAGCAGAAGACTTCAGGTGAGGTACGTTTCACTTTGTCCCCCTAGCAACACGACCAAGTTGCGAGAACCAGGTCAGAGTATTGCTATACGCTTGTAACTTTTATTATACTTTCTTGCCGCTACTTTTACCCAACCTTGTTTATAATCCTCGAATCATGCCTTTTTTGTTTCTGTGGTTGTTTCATTCATAGGCCTGTATAAAGCTGACATCTTAAATTTTATATAACCTATTCCTTGCTATTTATTTAATTTATTCACATGCATCTATAATCTATAAAATACAAACCTAGCCAAGGATAGTTTCTGATACTGACGAGGCTGATCTACGTCGTCATATGGCAGAGCTTGAAGAGGCGAATCGTGAAGTATCAGGTGATGATGATGAGGACGAAGGTGAAGATGGAGAAGGGGAAGAAGAAGAAGATGGGAGTGAGCCCGAGCAAGAAAACGATACGGATGTCGCTGCAAAAATCATTTGATTGATTAAATTTTGTTTGCTTTGCGAATGTTCTTCTATCTTTACCGAACATTTTCTCCTCATAGAATAACATCAGATATTATGTTTATCATTTAGCATCCTTGTGGAAAGTTATCTGGTTTATGCCATTGCACATTTATTAAATACTTAGATTTAATAAGATACCTTACATAACCTGCAAATAAGTATTTATATTAAGGATCATGTTTTGAATATCTTCATCTATATTCATCATATTGCTTTGGGAAGCTAGTGTCCAGTGAACATTTATTGGATAAGTTACCATAGACTGCTCCTGATTGCATTACTTTATAGGAATAGCAGGAAGATATATTGCGTGTACCTTGACTGGATGCTTTAAACATAAATAAAGCACTTGAAAGTGGCAAGCCTTGCGTTATTTTGGTTGTGATTGTAAGTGGAAAACTCAAAGCCTTTATTCTTCACTTATTACAACTAAAAACCACATTATCGTGATTAAATTTTGTCATTAGCTTAGTCTCCGATATGGTTCTGACATTTATTTTGCTGCTCACTCTATTCTATTAGACTCTTGATTTACTATGAGTCACTATCCTCTTCCACATATGTTTTCATTTGTTTGTGGTGGCAATTTCTCTTATAACACGGCTCATATTTTCGGCTAGTTTTTACGAGTTAAGAAGGTTATTATGCTTCCTTAAACCTTATATTGATTTGGCTTTAATCTAACTAGTCGTAAAATTGCTACTCTAGAGGCATGATCAGAAGACGACTGCTGACTACCATTGTATGTTAGCTGTTTATCTTTAATATGAAGTTTCGGTTTAAAGTCCACGAAACATCCTCTTTTGATAAAAAACGTCTTAACTTGAGAGTTGCAATAATTAGTCCTAGCTTTGTCAACTTTCGTCTAATGACGAACGAAAGTTTGTCTTTTTCCACCCGAAATTGGGGAGGATGTCACATTGACTTCGTCAGCCATAACAAGTCTGGCAAGTTGTAGCTTAGTGCTGAAAATGATAATGCTGACGAAACGCCATAGAATGTACTAATTCCACGGTATAACGATAGGAATAATGATAACTACTATAGCAGAGGACTTCAGACAAGGCGTGTCTAAATAGGTCTCCATATAAACACGAATGACATCAGGCAACTTCTTATATTTGAAGAGGACTGCAACCAAAAGAGATGCCACAACACTGTCTTCATTTCTACGACTCCAGTTAACTTAACCTTTTCTGCTAAAGGGTTTTTTAATTCAGAGTAATTTACAGTTGTGATCTCGCTAGCGTGTTATCAGCTCAGCAGGTCATGTTATCCACTTTTCAACCTATTACCACCCTTTTACTAGGTAAAGCATGCAAGAGGGTCGCAAAGCTTAACCTCATTACATGAGACACCAGGCTTTCTCCAACCTGTAATTACGATCAAGGACGTATTTACTTAATGCTAATTATCACTTCAATATAGCATAACATGCATGTCCTAAAGCAACGATGACGGCTATGCCATCTTGACAATATGATAAGAAAAAATTAGTCAGGGTTCTTTCAACACTCCAGTGCTTGGTGAGCTGACACAAGAAATATGACCAAGGTATGAAACAAAGCTCTGCCAGAAAGATGGTTTCAAACCTGGCTTTATGAAGCTGTACATATGGTGTAGAAGATAGTAAAATCTATCCAGAATCCATTTGATCTCGAATAAGAATGTAAAGAATGTTGGAATTAGCCGCAGCCTGTGATAGGTGACTAGTTGTGAATTTAATTATCTTATTAAATATGTTCATAAAGTTGGGGAACTCATCTCACCCTGAATGAGAACAACTTTTAGAAAGGGAAGGATATGTGAAATTCAATGGAAACGTCGGCTCTACTCATATCATTGTGAGAATTTACTATCAGTCCTTCATTATCTTAAATGAAATATGGTGAATACATCTCATACTACATAATCTCCGTTCGTTTTTTAAACTTTAATCTTCACGTAAAATTATACCTAGATTTTGTGTTATTTCTCGGTCTAATTTGCCTCTTAAATCTAAGACGGATCTTTAGCATATGCCTTGATTTAGCTGATATTGAATTTGAGGAAAACATTGAAAAGCTGTACTCATTACTTAGAATTAAAACCAGATTCGGGCAAATCTTGTCTGAGGCTGTAAGTTCGGAAGACTTCTCTAAGCTCCAAAAAATCTGAAATAAGTTGCGTATCAAAGTATTTCGACAAGTTTGAAATAAACATGATAGGAGACTAATAAATTAATTCAAGTAAACTATCCATATCTAATGGTGTGAATGTGCTTGAACTCTGCCTTTCCCCCGAAGTGTACTACGAGGCACGTTGAATTACAAGGTGTCTCCAATTGATGGTCAGTAGAAAATGCTGCAGGCATTAGACAAATTATAAAACTATATTTAGGAACCCAACACAAGGCCTCAAACTCGCATTAACATGTAAACAGTGGGGAAATGGAAAATTGGGAAATTTTTTACGGAGATGTTAAATCCCTAAACGCGTACGGTTTGCCAAAAATGTATACTTATAATTATTGCAAATAATGAAGGTAGGTTAATGCATGAAGCATCGCGATTCATTTATACTCACTTAAAATATGCCCGAAATTTGGAAGTTTTCGATAAGGAACTCTGGTGGAAGATAATTGTAGACCAAACTACATCCTTAGGGCGACACTCCCAGCATAGTGACGGGTTAGGGATGGGAACCATCGGAGAGTGTGAATAGGTATCACTAGATTCTTTCAAATGGACGCACCTCGACTAGATCTAGGTAAGCAAGTTAAAATTGTAATATTGAAGGTGTGTTACGAGGATTTAGGATAGGTGAATACCCCGGGTCAAAAACAAAACTTGTTAGCAGACAAATGGTCAAAGTATTGGTCTCACTTGTTGATTTGATGTGGTGCTAAAAATGGCAAGGCACACTGAAGGCATCGGCGAAACGTCTAGGAACGTAACAAGTCCATAGATTGACTGGAAATTATCATACATATTATCGACTCCGGACAAGGTTCATTCCTCTAGGTCTTCCTTCCAATATGACCGAGTTGCGAAAATCTGGTCAAACAACTTCTGTATTATTGTTGGAAAGTGTTGTGCTCATGTGTTGAGGTCTATCTATTAGAGACCTGTCGCCACATGTAGAAAAGACTAGGTGAATACAGCCGCTTGTAAAATTGCTATGGATCCAAAAATTTTAGTCCGCTAG